CAAACATGAGTGAGATATGTATTCTGGGGTGTGATAGCAAAACCTATTGGAATCACATAACTTTTGTTTTTGCTGCGTTTGGTGTAGCATCTACTCTTATTGGTTATATGTTTCTTGGTCCATTCTGGAAGAATTCGTATGGTGAGTTAACCGATGGGAATATGGTCATTATCGAGTTCTGGTCCAGGAATTTAGGGAGCTGAAGGCGGAATGTTCTTGCATTTGTGCAAGATCTGCTTGTGGCTGGTAGGCTATTCCACACGACCGCGTATCGGACGAGGAAGAAATTGGATCGGATGGCTCATCTGGTTCTTGACACAGTTAAGTTACAAGTATTGTTGTGTAGATTTCGATTGAAGTTGTGTTGCAAGTTTAGTGGGCACAGATTGGAGTATGTCTTCTGATTTATGAGATTGTGTAGCAGCAGCAGGTTTTGTTTCAGTCATGGTAACAAAAGCCGCTCGAGTTAAAGCTGCTGACAGCTTTCCTGTTAACTCAAGCTAGATGATTTACTGAACAAGCGCCTAGTGAATGATCTTTGCAGGTTTTCCAAGGCTTTCCTGTCACCCATACGCATGTTCCCATAACTGATGCTGCGGTGCTCAAGGAAAGGAACTGTGAGTATTTTGAAAAGCTCGATGGTTGCAGGGGTTATATGGATTTTATGACATTTGTTATCCACGCGCTATTTAATACACAGCTTGTTCTGAAAAAGCAAATTTTGAAGAGAATTGTATGCTTAAATCACAGTTGCATAGTTTCACACATGCTTTCATCGTTCAATTTAACTGACTCTTCAGGGACCAAACATCCGTGTGACATAATGCTTGATTTATTAGCTGAGAAATTTAACACCCATGTGTCGTACCCTTTTCAAGTGAATCGAGATCTGCTTGAATGAGCAGCATTGCACTATGGAGTTCATCTAGTAGAAATTTATAAATAACCTTTTTTGTCAACGGTGAACAAAAATGACCTGCCATATTGTATGGACGTTGTGATATCACTAATATGGAGTAGGAAAACGGAAGGACCAATTACACGCCTTTGGATTACACCACTAGGGATTGGCGGTGACGAAGATGTATGATTACCCAGAGTGAATACCTGGTAACGCCCATTTAGGTATGATGTCAACCAACCAAATAACGTGTTTCTGATTCCAAATATGGTACAATCCCTCCAGTTAGCTGGCCTCTTGCTTCCAGACCTGTTCGAAGAAGTGGGTAAGTTCCTTATATAGGACTTAGCCACCATACTTATATAGTGTGGGTGCAAGGTAATCCTATAAGGGTTGTGCTCATGTTTCTATCCTCAGCCTAACTAGCCGTGTTTCAAGCAGCACAGCCTGAACAGGAAGACCCTTGAACTGAGGTAAAGTTAGCAGTTCTCAAAAGTGACTAGCCAAACGAGTCAGCCGGAGCTCATTACTTTGAATCGGGGCACCCGCGCTATCTCTGCTTGTCTCCACAATGTATAACTTCTGGGGACATTTGGTGTGGACTCACTGGAAGAGTTTTCTGCACTTGCCTGCTGCTCTCGCCTCCCCCAGTCCTTGAACCCTACTAATCCACCAAGCTTCATTTTCAGCACGCAGGCTCCGTTTTAGTTCGTGCCTGGTGATCCGTCTGGTTACATTTTGCTCAGAGCCAGCTGGGAGTATTTTCTGTATTTTAACAGGTTCACCGACCTCTCGGATATCCTGTGACTCTTGCTCTGAAGATGCATAGTGGCGTAAGCAGAAGCTTCATCGTCGTGTAAAGTGAACGAGATTCTATTCCACTGTAGCTCAGTGTCCTCAGCGCGAGAAAGCAAAAATGCTGTACACATGGCTTGACCCTCCGAAGGATGCGATAACTTCGCATTTGGCAATCGACGGAGGTGCTTGACATGGCTCCTGGCAACGTTCATGGAAAAGAGAAGTGTACCAAACCATGATCTGAGTCAACGCAAGTACTCCAGAATGGGCGATAATCCGGGATGGAACCACGTTACCTGTAACTACTGGCAACGTGGTCGAGTTGGGTCTATCACTGGTTAGCCGTAACGGAGGCCAAGTGACACTTCATTTCCCACCGTGTCTGAAAACGATGCTACCATGAAACAGCCGATGCTGCGAGCACAGTTACAACAGGCGTTCACCGTTTTCTGTCCGGTCTGACTTAGGCCACCACTCACTGCATAGCTGAGCTTCTGCAGAGTCTGAAAGACCTACTTGCGTAATCATATCCCCTGCAATAACAACGATATCTGAACTGCTGACACATCGAAATAGCGTGTTCAGTTCGTGGTAGGAGGAGTCCTTGGCAGCATCAGAACTGCAGTCAGTGGGGAACTAAGCGGAAACCACAAACAGATGTAGTCTAGAACTAGTTTGCGAATCAGCCTAAGTTGATATCGTCATGCCGACTGTATACAAACCGCTGCTCAGGGGTACCCAAGCAACACACGGTGACTCAGTCTTGGAGCTGAGAACGATGACCATGATGGCATAAGGTTCAGGATAACTGGTTTGTAAATTGTCCCTAATCTTGTAGATGCTGTAACCTGGCTGTAAAAAGATAGACCAAAGACTAGGTCCTGCATCTCAATTTTCAGCTGTTCATCGAGGCAGGCTGGGGTTTCTGCAGCGTGAAGATTGAAGTCACCAACTAGTTGAACATGGCTGTGTGAACATGTGAAAACAGCCTTCAGTGTGGAAGCCAAGCGATTGCCTATTTCTGAAATAGACGATGGACTGCGATACTTGCTATCCACTGAACATGTGTTGCCGCGTCTTAAGTGAAGACGGCTTAAAGCGCATCGACGGTCTGTAACTCTTAGGTACCGATGTGATCAAGATGTAGCTCATAACAGGAGTAAAGTGCACCATATCCTCTATTTGAGGCTGAGTGTTACGCAGAAGAGTCACGTCAGTTAGTAAAATTTCAGCGTCATTGGTCACTTCGTTATACCATTTCTCGTTTATCATGATGAGGTCTCATGACAGCAGCCGGATATCAATCGGTTTGCTGAAACGAACTCGAGAGTTGGAGTAAAAACATGAGAACGCCTTATAAGTTAAAAGTTTGGGGAATAGGGTAGACAGTAGGTTGGGATTTTGCTAGATGTATAGGTCAGCCGCCAATATTTTTCAAGGAATCACCGGGCTCTAGAGATAAAGTTGGGGTACCTTTGTGCACCAGACAAACTGGATCTCGAAACTTTGGTGGTCAGTCACATCCTGCGATGTCCAACCAGATGTTGTGACGGGCGTTAGATCAGTCGACTGGATGGATTCCACAACTGGTGTTTTCACTGGGCTTGCAGCCCCAATTGAGTAACCACTGGTCGTGTTCATGCTGCTTCCAGTCCAACCTCTGAAGGACAGGTTGTTACAGGGCTCAACTTAGTTCACTGGAAGGGTCCTTATAGTTAGCTGAGACTGTAACACCAATTACAACTACCCAGGACCTTAGATGGCGCATGTATCCTTGTATAGGAACTTGCAACGACATTTTCTGGAGATAGTGCCTAAGGATGAAGCGCCATTGCTCCCGGTCATGCGCCTGAAATTTCACGGAAATGGACGTTCAACGGTCGGAACCACCAGGAACCACAACGATTGTTCAAACATTGTGTTTCAATTTATTTCTTGGCTATTCCCATCTTTTGAGTGTTCTTTCCACGGGATGTTCAGTACTATGCGCACCCTACTTGATACATTGTATACTTGCTTCACAGACATCATTGACCTCCGTCTCATCCGCAGAAGCTAGTGCTATGCGAGGTAACTGGCACTCGTCATACTAAAATTAGTGTTGGTTCCCCGAGATGCTTTTCAGTGTAGTAGAGTCAGAACAGTATCGAGCGTACCATGGATGGAATTCCATTGCTTATTATTATCCATCAGATTTTGTATTGGATTTGGGTTCTGGAACGTTAGCACACACAAGCATTTAATGCGATACTGTCTAGCATAGTGGATACCGGCTAAAAAGCACTATGTTCTTTTACTTTCTATGGTTTGGGCTATGGTCATCTATGTTTCTAAACCTCAATTTCGCCCACTCCGATATTAAGAACCACGGGTGGTTTTCTAGGCATTTCCCCGGAGGCAACCGATATGTGTGATGTCTATTCGTTCTTTTACCGTGAACTGACAGTAGCTTTGGATTTTTAATGTGGCAACTGAATTACTGACTACGATGCCCTTGGAAGAGGTAGAGACAGGCAAAATGCGAGCGGTATATGCAACCAGAGAAGTGCAGTATGTTGCGGAAAATGGAGATTGAGGAGCAGAGATGAGTTTGGGTGGCCTGGCTCTCTTCCTTGGAATGCATGAGTGCAAGCATAGGTTCGTTTATTTTCAGAGGTAAAACACTGATGTTCACCGGTTTCTTAGTTGCTTCCTTCAGCCTTTCACTTTTACAGTGGCACAACTAAACATCTCTCAACCGGGATGATCCTGCATGTTTGGCAGAGCTAAAACGCATGTTGTACTGCTGTGTTGCCTCTACTGGAGTGGTGGTAACTTTACACATTCAGTATGAAATGCTTTAAAGTACTTATAGCGCGTTAGCCCCGTCTTACCAGTTTCAAAATATTAGTCCCATTTCCATCAGTGGTTCATGTTCAAGGATAACCTGCACTTTTGGACTTGCGTTAGTTGGGTCAATCAACCGTCAAATTTTCCAAAGTTCAGGTCGATGGTCAGTGTGAATCACCGCGTCATACGTGTGCGCACTCGCTCGACAATGTTCAGAACACAGCTCTAAGCGGCAAATCATTGGTGTGGGACCATTACATGATGGTCATAATAATGTTTGCTGTCATATGGTTTTTGTAAACTAATTTTATTGTCTGATTTATTCGACTGGCTTACCTACTTTGTGTTAATACTTAGCTACTTGAAAATATGCAGTAGCTTAAATTCTGTAACTAACTAGCTGCTTAGAGTTCCATATAGACAAACCTGAGTCAGCTTTGCCAAGTAAGCTGACTGCATATTTTACTTTTAGGCGATTCTAGACGCAGTGGATCTGGTGCAGCGTGCCGAAATGGTTCTCCAAAATGCCGAGCAACTGGACTGTCGAGTTTTCGTCCGGCCACAGGATATTGTTAGCGGATCTCAAAGATTGAACCTGGCTTTCTTAGCCAACTTATTTCATGGGTACCCCGCACTCGAGAAACCACCTGATGTGGAGGAGAAAGTTGCAGAGATTGAGGAAACTCGTGAGGAGAAAAGTGAGTGCACCATTATGTGCTGCGCCAGGTACCTTTTGCGCCGTTTCCGAATCAGCGGTCTGTCGAAGGTATCAAATGCTTTTCAACATCCGAAACTCAATATACGTAATATGGGTAGGATGATGGACTCCGTGGAAGAAAAATTTGGATTATCAGGAGGCTACTGCATGTCACAAAGAAACAAATGTTGTGTAAATTACGGACTTTGCTCCGTTGTGTCTAGAGCAGATTGACACCCTTGGTAATACGTTGTATGTATACGTTAGCAAGTTTAATAAAACATTTCTAAAAATTTTGTTATCTTCCCTGTCATTAAGTTGGATAGGAGACAAGCAGAGGTCTTGTGTGGTAAAATGTGTGGAGAACATATTAGGGAAAACAGAAGCGCAGTAATTATCTCTGGTGGTCAGAATTCATGGTTACGCTAAGGCTTAGACAGATGCGGTATTCAGATCAAATCAATTGCCGATCGACCAAACGGCCAGTGCTGAGTCGGAGCACACGTACTTAATACATGAAACAGGCAAGAGTTATGCCGGTTTCTTCAGCTGAGTAAAGATGTTAAGATTCATCTCACTTAATAAAAAGCATCCGCTTTTTATGAGTAACTACCTCAATAATCAAAAACCCAGTGAATGCAATCTTTTTTCACAGCATATCGAAACTGGATAAACTCCATGGGTATAGTTCCGGCAGTAAATTACCTCTTCAGTGACCTTACCGATGGACTCACGTTGTTGAAACTGTTTGATCTAGTGAAGAAACGCAGTGTAGACTGGTCGCGAGTGAACTCCGATTTATGCAAGGCTACAGCCAAAATCAACTTTCAATGTTTGGGTAAGTTTTGTCCATTGAATTTGAAACTGAGGCAGTGGGCGATACAGTATATGGACATACGAGTTAACTATGTCATCAGTTAAGACTATGTGGCTCTTAAATTTGTGAAGAGAAAATTGCGCGATTTTTATCAGTGGAATCTTTTGGTAATGCATCGGTTGTTTTAAGACACAGCACCTTGTCAATTTGTACGTATTCTATGATCGGTAGAAAGATAAAAATCAATGAGCGCACAGCGTATTTGGGATCTGTAGACAGTTTAAGTAAAGAGTAAGTACTACTCCCTTGTAAATTTTGACTGTCAGGTGGCTGTTTGCTAGTAATTCGGTGAAGCAATCTTCGTTACTTGCAAGCGGGTTCCGTTTAAAATTTAGCCGCTGCAACATCATCGTCTGCTAATACCAGTGTTTCGTGCATCATTCAACAACACAGAGAGCCATTTGGATTGCTCAGTCGTCGTTAGTGATCCGCGTCTACAAGATATTGGTAACGTTCTAACATACTGGTCAGTTGGTATGGCCAACAGCATTATTTTGCTAGATGTGGGCTTGTATAGCTGCTTCTGCAGTGCTTGAGAACACACATTCAGATAATTGGAACAATACCAAACCAGCTGAAAGGACGTACTATCGATCCGTCATACGCAACACAGTGCTGATATTATAGTGAGTACCATACATTAGAAGTCACAACCGTCAGTTAACATCACTGTAGGGGAACCGTTGAGCCTTTGCTTTGTGAAGCAAATAAATGTCTCACTGTCTCAAACCAATTATTGTGCCTTCTAACATTCATAGGGAACCGGTGTAATGAACACAAGTGTGGAAATTTCTAGTCACTAATAAATCCCAATGCTTTAGTGTCAACATACCACCGGTAGTTCAACTAGGAGAGCAAAGTGGCTGGGAACAAAGAATTCCGGATTCGGAACTAAACACTTTTTGATGCTAGCTACAAGGAGCAATCGCCAGCAAAACCTTTACAGTTGCAACGGTCAACATCAGTAAAAGCTGGGGAAAACATTAAAGAATCTGTGCTGATTCTATGCGTAACAGAAGCAACGCACTCAGCACATGAATACATTAGTCATTACGTTTCCAACTTAATACGATGCTATCATCTTGTGATTTAACAGTGTAATGCAGCGAATTGTATTGCAATGCGATTTCAGCTGAACAATTCATAGCTGCAGGAGGTACACTCTAACTGAACAGATGGGAATCCTAGTTCTGCCTATACTTCGAACACTGTGTTAATTTGTAGCGGTCGAGATCTCTCGTTATCACAACGTGATGTAATGGTTCCCATGGTTTTCAGATGAATTTGCTTTTAATCGTTTATTACATGAATTGAGCAGATGAAACTGAGGATCAATGTGTATATTATAAGTTTCTCTTTCCTATTTTTTCCGATAGAAAATTGTAATTATGCTGTAAACCTGGGTCGTCAGTTCGGTTTCAGTCTTGTTGGACTCGGTGGTGAGGACATACAGCAAGGGAAAAGGACGATGACCCTTGCATTGCTATGGCAACTCATGAGGGCCTACACTCTGTCGGTTTTGACGAGGCTAACGGAAGCTATACCAATACTGCATGATCGGCAGCAAACAGCGGGCCGGTCCCCACCAATCTCAGAGACGGAAATCATTCACTGGACAAATGAAAAACTCCGTCAATGTGGAAAGACGAGTAGAATTTCCGATGCTTTTGGATTTGCCGATCCAGCATTAGCAACCGGACACACTGTAATTGATTTGATTGATGCCATCCGCCCAGGGTCTGTCGATTACAGTGCGGTATTGCCTGGAATGACAAGACAAGTACGTTACATCTGATAGTACGATGCAAAAACTAGGGTAAGAGAAAATACATCCAAGCTACTGAATAATTAATTGTAGCTGTAAGCGATTTGAAGGTTTCCAGATAACTGATGTGCAACTGAAACGAAATGCTAGAACAGTTTACTTCCCAAAGGCAAAGTGGAACACCATCGGTATTCTCAACCTGAAGCTCTGAGCATAAACTATTCCCTTGCATCTTGTTATCTCCGTTATAGAGAACTGAAAACATTGTACATGCGTTTCCCGTCTTCCATTAAATGGAAACGATGTGTTTTGCGGAAATAACTTACTTAGTATTCGCTTTATCCTCACTGCTTAGTTCGATACAGTGATTAGAACTGGAAGGGCAACCCGCGTAGCAGGCACGAAAGTATAGTAAATTACCGTTATGATATCAGTTGAAAAGTAACAAGTAACAAGTAAGATTGTTTCAGATGGAACCTTTGTATTGCGGTATGCTTCACAAGGGCGTAAATGACAAAGGAAATTGTTACCCACATTAATCATAGAGCACTTTTGGAAGGGCATTCTCAACAATTTCGCTCATCTGGACATGTATTGCCTACATTTGACTAGGTTTCAAGCTAACAATAGAGATCGTTTGCTTAGTATTACCAAGTGCAGGCGCTCGTGACACTACATTCATTGTAGCGACTGCCTCGTTAGGTAACTAGTGATTTTTTCTGGGCGGCCATCGTCTACAAAATTTAGTCACTAAAGCTTAGTTTTCAGCTAAAACAAGGACCTGTCGTCAATTAGTTGAGTCTCAGGTTAAATGTCTAGATTATTATGCCTCTGTAGACAAGTAGATGAACCGTCCTCTGTTTTATTAGAGGGAATCAAACTTCAAAACCGGGTGTTTGGAAGAGAAAATTGTTCTTAAGAATAAGTCCCTTGATTGCCTTGTTTCGCCAAGTAGAAAACGTAAAATGGGCGACTGATCGCACTTTTTCGGCTGCCATTGCAACGGCAGTCAGTGGGGTCATGTTTTATGACGGGTGTACAGGCAAAGGATTGATAAGTCTCGTAGGATGAAAATTGCAAGATAAAAAGCAGTGCCGGTAAAAGAACCTGTGTGATAAATCATTCACCAAAGGGTTTGCAATAGCATGTATGTGTTTATTCCTGCCTGGAATGTAAACGACTTTTGACACCGTCCAGTGTTCGTTCCGCACGAATGTCCTCATCTGATGGTCATGGGCTATACCATGTACAATATATGTGTAAATGTGTCAGAGCATCGCCAAGGCGTTTTTTCAATAAGGTTAAGGTGCAGGCACCAGTTGCAAGCGCCTCACTTACGCGCCAAACATATTCTGAGGCGACAAACTTTCTGAACTCTCTACGAAGGCGACCAAATTGCTGGCTTGATTTCCTTGATGATTTTTTGGTCTGCCTTAAATAACCAGCGTCATTTTTCACGAGTACGCGGCGATCGCACTCAAGAGAACCCCGCTGGAGAATTCGTGGCCCTAGCAGTTAGTCGTGAGTACTCTGATGGCTTATGCACAGAATTTTGCAATTGGAGGCTTTGAGCTGAACGTTCCCTCGATGGATCACGTGTGCGTTTTATTCAGATTATCTTCTAGGGCTGTGTGCTCCTCCACTACATTGATAGCAAGCCATATCTTTAGATCATCGGTAAAAAGTAGGAAACTTTAGGATATCACCCTAGAGATATCATTTGAACAATGAACAATGAATGTATACGGGTTAACAAGCAACGTTTTACATGTCCCGTTTGGTGGTTTTGCCGGGTTATCTAAAAATAAAAGTGCAGCAGGTTATTTACATCTAAAAGAGAGACTTTCGTTTGTTTCGCTGCAGTCCTGCGATCCGTGGAGTTTCGCAGCGCAAACATGTAACAGCAAATAAATCCAAAGTATATTCCAAGAGTGGGGTGCAGATGTGATACTAGGTAACAAAGTGTGGGTGAGTAAGTGAGGTATCCATGCATCCTTTACATATGGATATTGATGGTGCAGAACTGACGAATTCCGGAAGACCATTCCACGGGTGACACACGAGGACGGAGAAGAAATTCCTGCGGCAATCCTGGCGGCTGTACTTATCTGCCAGTTTTAGTAAGTGACCCCTCAAGTTGCTATTACTGCTGAGTTGCAGTCAAGAGCGGCACACATGGTTTGGATCGCGCAGAATTAAGTACACCATTATCAAGTCACCTCGTAAGAGGTGGTAATGTCCGTTGAACACCCCCAATTGTTTCAGCCTCGCCTCTGGTAGAAGATGGTTCCTTCCAATAAGGAACTTTGATGATCGAGGTTGGGGCTGCTCCAGTGCACTATGTTGGTTTTGTAGCCATGAGTACCAGGCTGGAATTGCATATTCGAAATGAGGACAAACAAACGCTCGAGCATCTGCCGAAAAATAGAGCGATCTATTTGTCTGAACGTCCGTCGTAACAAACCCACATGTTGATTCCCAGTTTTAGAAACTTTCAAGGATTGCCTGGAACAACCCAGATCATCCTGAACCAGTACGCCTAAATGACGTGTCGTGACAGCTCTCGGCAGCACATGCCTTCCGAGCCCGTAACCGTGGTCGCTCTGGTGTCGTATGGAGAGCATCTTGCATTTACTCTGATTGAATTGCAGTGAATTTTGGTTGGACTACTGTTGTATCGTGTCTAGAGCATTCTGAAGCAATTGCTGGTCAGTAGTCACCCGAACCTTGGGCTGAATCTTGACGTCATCGGCAAATACCAGGGACTTATATATAAGTGCCTACGTGAGGTCATTGGTAAATAACAAAAAGAATCGGGACCTAGCACCGAGCCTTGAGGCACACCACATTCAACTTGTATCGGGTCAGAGAACGAGCTCTGAACTCTGACCAACAGCTGCCACTGAAGGAGAGAGTTGGCGATTCAGCTTGGAAGAGAGGTCACCGATCCCGTAACGATGTAGTTTGGAAAAGTCTATCCGATGATCTGAACAGTCGAATGCTTTCGAGAAATCCAGGTAGACAACATCAGCATCCTCTTCAGCGTCAACTGACTGGGTCCAGATACTCCGTGTTAGTAGTAACTCCGTTGCTCACTATTGATTTCGACGGAAGCCGTGCTGCTGCGAAATAATAATGCCAGAATTTTCCAAATAGCTCACTATCGCATCGGCTATGATGGATTCCCTCAACTTGGACAGGATAGGGAGAAGGGAAACTAGGCGGTAGTTTAAAGCCTCGGTACGGCTGCCGCCTTTGCGAATGGGTGTTATTATTGCAAGCTTCCACATGGCAGGAACTTGGTTCTGGTCCAAGCAGAGCTGAGAGAACTGGACCAGTGGCTCTGCCAGTTGACTTATTAATGCTCTTAGTGCCTCTGGGCGAATAGCATCGACAACCGGGTATTTGTGTGTGCGTAAAATGGTAAGCTTCTGCAGGTCATCTTCAGTGGTAAAGGAGACGTAAGTGAGTCCCGGCGGTGGGTGTTAAGTTTGGAGGATCTCCTGATGGCAATACCCTCTGGAACGTGGGAGCATATTGCATCCGCAGCGCGTTCGCTGCTTCCGTAGCCGTTCGTGTTGGATCATCAGCCATCGGAAGTATTGGAATTCCTTGCCACACTTACCGTAGATCATTTACATTCTCCTACAGCAGTTCGTGATTGGAGCTGAAGGATTTTGCTATGTTCTGCTGATGCGCGGCTTTATCCTCTCTGAGCAGTTGAGTGCAGTGGTTTCGTTGGGCTGCGTATGTACCCCAGCTTTCTAGTGTTGGAAATACTCTATACTCTCGCCACGCTGTGTTAAGTACTGCTAAAAAGTTTAGAGTTCTGCCCCTTACATAACTAACAGTTGCAGACCGTTTGCAAACCATGACTTTGAATAGGTGGGGACCACATACCGAGCCCTGTGGTATGCCGCATTGAAATTCGTTTGTTTAGAGCAGGGTGCTGCAAACCCTCACATTCAGGAAGCGTTGAACGAGAAAGTAGCCAACTCCACCCAGAACGGGATCGCCTATTCCACAGTTCGGTAGCTTTTGTTGTGGAATTCGATGGTCCAGTCGGCGGAATGCGTTTGAGAAATCCAGCTAGACGGCATCTACTCCTACACCAGCATACACAGATTACGACCAGCATTCACAAGCGATCAACTGGTTAGTAGTACAAGATCAAATTAAAAAAACCGTGCTGCTCCGGAACGACAGTTTTGTTACCCTCCAGGTACAACATAAGCCCTTCAGCTACAATGAACTCCAAGATAACTGAGGTAACCGCAAAAAGTATTATCGGTCGATAATTCCTTGGTTCTGCGCGGCCATCACTTTTGTAGTTCGGAGTGATGATCCCGTGCTTCCACCTCGTGAAGTTGTGTATCTCGTTAAGTCATCATTGTAAGAGTATTGCTAACGGTTCGACTGAACTCATGACAACAAATTTAAACCTCTTCGGGCGAATGCCATCTGCACCAGCGGAGATGTATTCGCGCAAGGACATCAGCGGTTTTAGTACAGTTTCGGCCGTAAAAGATATGTGACTAAGTCCAGTTGGCGGCAGGATCTGCTTAGGCATGGTGTAGGATTATTGCGCACCTTTGAAAGCACGGCCAACTGGTTATCCAAGATCGTTGTACGCTTCTTCTACCTTTTGTGGTAACCCACATGTTGTGTGTAGAGCGGGAATTCGGAGCCCAGATCCGTGAATTTGTTTACGCGTCTGTAGAGCAGCTTGGGGTTAGAGCGAAATTTTACCAAATGGTCTAGTTTTTTCTTTAATTTATCCTCCCGGACGAGTTTGAGGCAATGCTTCCTTTGTGTTGTAGAGACATCATAAGTGTCCTCACTAGGACTGGCTATGTGGACGAACCAAGCCGAGTCCCTTAATGCCATGCATTTACGAGTTCAGCTCCTGAGGAAAGACTTCATCATTATGGATCGGTGGACATTACTTTCAGACGTGGTTGTCATCAGCCTGTTGTGTCAGTTGACAAATTTCCTGCTGGTCACCTGAGAGGAACATTCGATTTGAAAAGACCAACTTATTGCACCAATGAGTTCGGACAGGTCGTCATGGTTAGTTACGATATGCGATTCCTCAACGCATTCTTCAAAATCTCTGCGTAACACGTGTAGTGGAACACTAGAGTCGCGTGATCGCTGCCGTCCAAAGGAGTGCAAGTTGTTACTACATCCATCATGTGTTACTCGTTGGTGAAAAGGAGGTCCAAGATGGCCGGTTTGTTTCCCTTCCTGAAACGTGTTGGAGAAGTGACATGGTTGTACAGCGGTATCCCAGCTATTATCTACTGCAGTTCCTCCTTTCATTGCCCCCGACAGCTGCCGGGGTTTCCAAGCCCTGCAGGTTGAAGTGTCATACTAGGAGAACGTGGCTGTAAGATCGTTCCAGTAGGTTCTTCATAGCAGAGGCCAGGGCGTCTTGCGTTTCTACAGTGGATATCGGTGGGCGGTATACAATGGCCACTAAGCATACATGTATCGCTTTGCCGAAGGTGCAGGCACCACCATAGGGCGACTATTGTCTGCAACGCTGAATAGTTTACGCAGTCGATGAGTAGGTCGGAACCGTAGTAGAGAATTACACGACCTCCTTTCTTGGGTCGGTTGATGCACAGGCGTGACATACCGGGTCTTGCTAGCTCGGCGTCGGTAATCATGTCACTCAGCGATGCTACGGTTGCCAAGCAGAAGTCCCAACACATTGGGGCTTGAAGAGATCGAAGTTCAAGCAATTTACTGAAAAGTCCTTGCGAGTTTGTGTACAAACAACTGAGAGTAACGTATGCCAGAAGCATATATAAACACATGAACCTTTCAAGTGAATTTACGCCGAACCTTGTGATGTCGGCCGACAGTCGTTCTTTTTATTTTATATTTCTGGCCTACCACTCGAGGCAGTCTCGGGGTGCTGAATCCAGCACCCACTACCTAATCCTTCAGAAGCGAATTGCAACGGAATGCCCGTCCCTTCCGCTTTGGTAGGTTGTAGGGTTGCACTGCACTCTTATTCGGAAATGCACACAACAATGCTGTCGACAAAATCTGGCTGATCTTATGTTTCCTTAGCCAATGGTGGCCAGGCTTAGACTGCCTTCAAACATACCTCTGATGGCAGCTGAACGCATAACTTGTGACAACGTCCGAGCACTCATTCAAACAGTTGTTTGGAGTAGAGCGGGAGTGTCAGCACACTTGGACTGCATACTTTACAGTTGCGTGCTATTAGTAACCTTGACATTGAGTTGGTGATCACGTCGTGGAGAGATGGTTTTGTGGATGTGTAGCCACTCTTCCAACTCATGAGCTTGCGCTTACGACGCGTCGGAAAACTGGACTTCAGAGACTCCATGGACAAAGATCGATCTTTCGTCGGTTTGCTTGCGCTATTCTCCTGGGTTTTGTTTCCTTTGCCGTGGCACACTCCAATGAGATGTCAGGGTATATATGAACGTCGCGTGAGGAATCACCAAGTTGGTGAGCTAACAAAAGGATGACCGCTTCTGCGCCCGATTGAAATGTCACCTGAAGCAGCCTTAGTTCGCCATAGTGAACTGAGTTTGGGTGGAGTACCAAGCGAAACAAACTATCCTGTTTGGCCCAGATTTCAAATGCTTGACATATGGATTCCAGTTGTTTCAGGTCGTCCAGTATTTTGTCTTTGATAGTGTATGCCATTAGCACAGACACTTGGGAGCATATTATCCTCATCCAATTCTGCGCCTTTCTTGTGTTAGTAATTTTGCGTAGGAGAGTACTTATTTTCAGTGTATTGGAATAAACTTCGAACTGACTGAGATATCATAACGCTTACTTTCTCTGCAGCTTGGTGGGTTGCCTTCTCGTTGACGCATTGATATTGACGTTATTTCTGTTGCTGCATGGGCTAGTTCCAGACGTAACCGCTAACTTTGCTTTGGGTCGGCGTGCAGCGACGACGGACGAGCATGTTGTTAGAACTTTAGTAACCTTCTTTAAACTTGAATGCAACAGAGTGTCTCGGAACAAAGTGACATCGCCGGAAAAAACACAATCTCCTCAGGGTTGCATTCGCCGGGGGTTGGAGATTTTGCTTGTCCCATTGTTTGCTAGTTCGCGTGGCTGAGGTTTCTGGCTCCAGACTGTTAACTCTACACTTGTTTTGGCAACTTCATTCTTAGTTTGAGAACATGTTTAGGTAACGGGAACCGAGTTCCGCTGCATCTGGTTCTGATGCGATCACTATTATCAGTCTTGGCACGCTACACAATCGCTGTCAGTTTGTCACATTTCTGTGCCATCACGGCGGTGCTTCTTATGAGTGAGGTGATCATACACTCTGTACATAACCAACTGTCGTCTGGTGTGTCGTTAATACACTTTCACTACACTTAGATTTACGCACTTAGAATGGAACTTCTTACGGTAGGCACACGTATTCCCAATTCGGATGGTCTTGGAGCATGATTTGGGATTAAAATACTTTGTTTGCAGATACCTGTATAGTGTATACATTGTTTTCTTGGTTACTGTGTTGCGAACCGTGCCAAAGCGGAAGCCAGGTGGGTAAATTGCAATCGCCGTTTCCTTTACAGTGGCCAACGTATCGAGCATGTTCAGACAGGCAGGATGTTTCGGTTGACAGCCTCCTACGAATGGGACTGCAGTTGCGTACGAAGCCGACAAATGTCAACGAACGACCTCGCTGGTGGAAGCAGTAGGCGCTTAGCTATCGACCAGGCCGAGCTTCGCCTGGGTGGAAAGTTGAGCTTTGATAATCGTGATCGAATTCATGCTAGTTTGGCGAGTGTTAGGAAGATGGCTAGTAAACGGATAACAGCTATCAGACGGAGTGTAGGATTCTTATGGTAAAGAAATCGTTGGATAGCGTTAAAAGCACCCCGTTAAAAGAAGGTACACATGATGGTATGCACTCGAAAATATGGTTGCTACGCGAATGGATTCCTTGGAATATCCCGCTGCAATTGCAGTAACGGATTAAACAATGACGTGTGCTAGACAATTCTGTAGTGGTAGATCCACCGGATAGCGTTTATAAATCCGAGTTGGATAAGAGTAAGCACAGAAATGTGCGTCGAGAATTCTGAGTGGTACATCCAACATCAGAGCGGAGTCGATTCAATACAGCCACATAGTAGGCTACTAAATTTAATGATGATTCTGAGAACACAAGTTGGCAACATGCAAACATTTCAAGGTTTATATAAAAGAAAATAGTCGAAGCTGAATCTGGGGAACTCGCTGTGTGTTTTCGTTGCTACACGCAACCTGTAATGAGACCTCCGTTCACTTTGAGGTAAACCTCAGTCATTCCGATCGCGAGGACCGTATCCGAAACATCTCCGATCGGAATGACCGGGCTTTGCCTCAAAGTGAACCGAGGTCTCAATAAAGGTTGCGAGTCGCAACCCAACCACACAGTGTGCTCCCTAAATTCAGCTTCGAATTACCTTCTACTATGCCAAGCGTTGCTCGTGAATCTCAATAGCATAGTGTTCAGGGCGTTAGCCGTGAACTACTTAGCTCTGAGTTCCATCCCAGCTCAGGCTATCTCCACCTGACGAGTCTAAACCAGTACGAAACCGCAGTCGTGATGTGCCAGTATTGGGAAGAACCACAACCAAAATATATAGTCGAAGGTCAGTGAATTAAATTGAAATCATTTTTTTACCTGTAAGGTCATATAAAAGTGAAAAATGGACCAAAGCAGACTGGCCATCACCTGTGTGTCACGTCGAGGGACTGATCATTGGTAGCCGCGGAGCTAATCTTCATAATGGGATTCTGGCATGGACAAAACTAATGGTTTCAAGGTTGCTTAGCAACAGCTGAGAAATAGGCGTTCCCGCAATACAGATAAGGTTATTCCGCAAAAATAGCTGATCCTTAGATGAGTACCGATATCTTTCGGATTCCCCAATCTTACGATTTGCTTGACCTAGGTTAGGGTGTTTATACATAGTGATAATGTGGTTCGAGAAAGTAGTTTGGAATGTATAAAGATGATAGCGATTTCTGAAAGCGGTGCTCTTTAACTATTAGTTTACAGATTACTTTCATATGCAGCAACGCTTGCGAGTAGTCGAACTAAGATATAGTAAACTCCCCTTTCAGGAGAGGTTGACCAACGCTCAATACGCGATCCCACTGGCCAGAAGAATCGGGGCTACCGTGTATGCAGTTCCAGAGGACATCGTTGAACTTAAGCCCAAAATGATCATGACGATATTTGCTTGCCTGATGACTGCTGCTCTGGACGATGTTTGCGGCGTTGGCACTCCAAAAATGAATGCTGATAACTCGGGAGAAGTTTTGGAGGACCTAGATTTGAACGGAAGTAAGCGAAGCCACTTACCGGCTGGCGACAGCTGGGCGGGTCAAGTGATCGATGGACCAATCACAGGTAGGCCAGCAAGGAACACATTTAGCACAATGTGGTACCCTTCTTTGAAAGAGATAGAAAGACCTGACTTAAACCGAGTTTACGTCAAAACAGTCTGCTTTACCCTGTCAAACACTAAAAGTGAAACGCAAACAGGAAATTCAACGTTGTTTACTACGGGTGGGGGAGCAGGTGATTGCACTGAGAATCCCATTTCTCACTGTGAAAACAAAGAGGAACAATCGATATTGCACGATATGCATTCGAAGAGAAGCGACACCCATTCGCCTTTCGATCTTGCTTGCAAAAGAAACGTAAACATAGAGAAATCAAGACTAACAGCTTCCATATCAGATTGCTACAAGAAGATGGACAAAGTTCCTGGACCATGTCCAACGCCATTCTCAGAAAAGCTATCAAGGCCTGTACCTTCAATATTTGTTATAGACGAAGAAACAACAGAGGATGCTGACATGCTTTGCTCGGTCGATAGCAGCCGGACAATGCGGAAGTTCGTACCAAAAATATCCTACGATAACACAACATCAATATGCACATTAGATTCCGATATCCCGCGCCACATTACTGAGATGGCAGGCGGGGAAAATGTAAGCCATCTCAACGTCGTAAGAGAAACTATTGAAAGTGAAACCAGCCATGTATGCCGTAGGCGAGAGCACAATACCAATTGGTCACACGGAGGAGGTCGTCTGTTCATCGCTACAAAGAGTAAAAAGTGACCAACACTTCCGAAACTGTGACTATCAAGCAACACCTGATTTCGCAAGCCCAGAAATCTTGGCCAGATTGTAAGGTTTTATTATTTGAACTTTTCTATTGGATAACGACATCGATAAAAATATATTTCTCATCTACGATTAAGAGACTTGATCTTCATATCTTGTTTTACATCAGTCAGCGATGTTTTGCACAATGCAGCACACGCAATCGTCTGCAAAGTAACCACGATAACAGAATCACTTATCGCACATTGGAATCGCAACGAGATGTTGCATAGACCCCATCCCAACTTAGTGTTTGGGTTGGAACATAAGTTTGCACATAAAATCCACCCTGAAAGCAAGCCAAACAAAGAGAGTCAGTGAATAAATTACTTCCTTTTATTTCTTGCGAAAAGCAATCGTCATTATTCCTTGTTAAAAATTAACTTTGGCAGAAGATAACCTAAAGGAAATCACGATTTTTATTGCACGCGGCAACATCTTACCAAGCTCTCACGCACCCATATATATATATATATATATATATATATATATATATATATATATATATGTCAGGGTTCCTTCCCACAGCACAAGACACAAGTCAACCCACGAACCGTCAAGTTTGTGCGCCGGTTCGTCATATCTTGGTGACTCTTCTCTGTCTGACTCCTTATCTGCGCTTACTTAAGTCGTATTGTGACCATCCTGCATTTTTCTAAGGCCATTGATTTGCTCGTTCCCGATTGCATTGTTCCTGCAAAGAGATGCTCCCAGAAGTACCAACAAAGGTGTTTCTGTCCGGTTTAGTGACATTTCGACCGATAACCCTTGTCGCTCACGATTCGATCTCAGCTCGTTCCTTGGCGTTTGCGATGTGCTGTCTGATCTTCATCCTGCCCGTGCCTCTCTCCTTTCTATCCCATCTTCGCCTGCTTCCCGTCCTCCGTGCAATCGCTGCTTAGCGCCACCTACATTAGGACCTCGCAGATTTGGAAGTATCGCGCAGTGAGGGGATTTCATTTAGAAAGCTACCACATCGGCCCAGAGCAAATGTTTTGGTTTTCCCTATTTCACCTCATGGAATTCGCATGATTCTGGTAGGTACATATTACGATTACAATCAAAAACTCTCTTCGTCATGTATGTCCTTCCATTTTCTAAAACCAGAAGCAGTAGCCTCATAATCCGAATTAACCACAATAAAACACAAGCAAAGAGGTGACCTGACTAAAAAATTTCAACAATCGCTTCACTAGTGGTGGCTGCTAGTCATATTTATCAGCACTTGGAGCTAAGCACACCTGAGTAGCTTCTACCCTGGTCCAGGGGGCAAAACAAGCCAAATCACGGAAATATATCTACCCAAACAGCCTATAGGATCAGCTTTTCCGTAGTGAGGTGACAGAGAAATATCTGGTCAGGACCTGTCACTACTCCCCTTGTGATTGACGCAGACATTGCGACTGTCCTTGTTCTATATGGATTGCTATTAACATCGGTTGGCCCCAGTTTGTTCCGGCTGCAACTTTCTTCTGTGCCTGATCGAATATTTGGGTCTATGTGTGTCAGTCGACGTCACCAGAATCCATGAATATGTTGAGAACCACAGAATTTAGACCAGTAGAACAGAAACAACTGAAAGCTATGATATCTTTAAGAGCGTTAATCACCGATGGCGTTTATAATCTCACGGTTTGGACTGAACCAGCTGCATGCGAAGCGAGCGATGAACAGCAGTACAATTGTACAGCTCCAGAAATTGTTTCAGGAAATCTATCAAAGTGCCGTCCTTATAGTGAGGGAGGGTGCAAATGCTGTCGTTGCTTATCCCACTGCTGTATAAGTTCCGGGGACAAGCGCTGCTGATCAATTCGAAGTGTTTGATAAAAACGGAACAATGGTTTTATACGGATAAAAAAGCTACTGCTTAACTGGTTACGTAAGGTGCTTATGTTGACGCCAGGGAACTAACTGAACTATACGCAGTGTAGGCTGTAAATCCGAGGTAAATCCATGAAAAATGAAGGCAAACGAGATGTTGGTAAAAATCGTGTCTCCTCCTGGTGTAGACATACAGAAACTGAAAAACTTGGAACGAAACCTGGAACCGCCAGTGAAATCACTTACGGACACTTGTTTTTATCTATGGGTAGTGGGTCAAGTAAGATGGTGCAGGGAAATAAGTACACAGTCAACTCGAGCTTTGAACTCTACCAGCGTGGGAGCACATATGTAATAAATAAATAAAGTAAGGTGTCAGCTGTACGCCGTAACGGCGCTTCGCTGCCAGCGCGACCACCACCAGTCGCGCACGGGCTGAGTATACCGCGAGGACGCCAACCCCTACGCGAATTCTAACCGGTGACCTTATGGTTGCAAAACAAACGTGCAGACCACTCGGCCACCGGCCGACGGGAGCACATATGACAGATCCCGTTTGGCATTACACTTTCTGCAAGCGTGGACGGAAAAGAATTTCTGACGGTATTCCACGCGACTGTGGTTCTCTGCCAGCTTAAGATGTTGGCTTCTCAAATTACTGTTCTGACTAAGCTATAGCAAGTAGTGGCACGCGTGGTTAGAATCTCAAAAGCTGATAAGTCAAAGTGAGGTCCCCGCGTAATCCTTGACACTGCGCGCTGAAGACTCTGAGCACTTGTAGCCTCCGTTCACAAGGCAAATGATGCAGACCCTTGGCATTCTTGGTTGCCCGGTGTTCGGGTATCTCCAATGCGGTGAGATCTCTCCTCAGTCATGGTCGCCAGACCTGTGTGGCGTATTCCACATGTGGCCGTATGCATGAGCCAAGAGATTGCGGAAAATAGAAGGATCGAATCGTCCGGATGCACGCTACAGGAGGCCCACGTTTTGGATGCTCCGCCTAGACGCCGTTTCGGCCTGATTTGAATATCCAGGGTGGACCTGAACCAAAACGCTCAGATTCTTCTCGCCAGGAGACGTCTGAAGCTCCTGGTTGCTGAGTTTTGTAAGATTGAATCAACTTGTGCCGTAGATGCAGCACTCTAGATTTGTCCACACTGAATTTAACTACATTCTGGATTGAGCACAAAGATACCCTATCCAGATCAGTTTGATGTATTTTGATATCATATGGTGCATTGATCACCTTCCACTCCTTGATAACATGGGCATACAGCAGTTGACCTGTCAAATCTCGATAGGGATGTAATCTGTTTTTAGTCTCACTTGCACCTGCGCTATGTAATCCATCGCCAAACTTCTCGATGACTACGGGTCATAGCGCACAGGTTTCTGAATCACGGTTGTGGTTATATTAAGTCGCTGGCGGTGTCGTTTCCTTGGGGAGAGCGAGTGGCTACCGCTCTCTAACTGCTGTCTTCAATCGTAGTGTTGCGTAGCAGGTGCCAGCTCCGGATTAACTACACGACCATCTGTTATGACTGTACCGTTAATTTCAGTTTTCTCGGGTCACTGCCTCTGTAGTTTGACGACACGGTTAACCGCGTAATCGACGGAACTATGACGTCGTCAGCACAGAGAGCTTCTCGATTTAACGCCATTCCTCCAGATCATGAGCATGGGTTTCTTAATTGCTGGTTCTCGGTAGCTCGGGCACGCCATGAACAAAAATTATTCTTTTCCTACTATCTGTGTGGTGGTCGTTTAAACTATTTTTGTCCCTCTGGCATTCACTCCATTGAACATCCGGAAATATCCGTATCCCACTGTTCTCAGTGCGCAGGCTGTATGCCGACAAAAGCACCGTCTCGAGGTCCTCTGTGGATCTCAACGTTAGTTGTATTGGCCGCGGCTATCTGCAATGATTAGAGGTTGGATGTCTGGTGATGCGCATTATATTAGTCGGACTGTCTTGAACTCAGTTTATCACGAAGGCAAATTCATTGCTTTAAACCATTCGGTTGTTTACCTCTTAAGGAGCTTGCGTTGCACTCAGCATCGTTGGTGCATATAAGTGTCAAGGCCCCGTAGTTCCACCAGGTCTTCGATGATGTGAGAAGCAAGGTTATTGAGTGGTTTAGTGACGTCTCTGCTGGTTGCTCCTGGTCTTTTATCAGTTTAGTGGTTGTACTGTGTGAGGCTACTGAGGTCGCACTTTGATTATACCGAGCAACAACATTTGGATAGGTGGATCAGTTTTTAGAGCGCTTTGGATCTTCTTGGTCAACCGGAAGGGTGGGTGTTACCCATGTTGCATCAGTCGATACATTAGATAATAGGATGTGAGCGGTGGTTCTAGGCATGCTTCTTTCGGTCGTAATGACTTGAATCGCGGTTCCCAAGGTTTTTAGTACTGCGCAGCTATTTGAACGCCTGGACCTTTTCCTTGGCTTCGAGGCAGCAACTGAGGGAGAGGGATGAGGTGCAAGGTTAGCTATTGTCGCTTCGAACGAAGCTAGTTTTACATTCAAACAATGCTCAGTTTTGGCGACTAGTCTGTCGTAATATTTGTGTTAACTCCAGTACGCATTTAACTAGTGGAACCATCGTGCATTTAGGACAAAACCAAAGTGAATGCGGTTTGTTGTATTTCTTTGTGTCAGTTCTACAGACTTTGAGGCATTTCGAATGTTAACAGGCTTAAAAATTTGTACAAGTCAACCCAATTTTTACTTCCTTAGCACAAGTTTGACTAGCACAAAATACTTCGTTTCGGGTTACCGGTGTGATCGTCATGACGGCCAATTACCGTTGGACAAATCCAAGATGGCGGACGCAGACAGCAGTTGGACTAGTCGGAGAGCCCTAAAATCAGCCACAGAACATCCACCAATTTTGCACAGACTGAAAAATACACCAAAAGAAAACTATCGCTGCACGATTCACACGGAAAAACCACGTATTTCCGAAGCAAAAGTGGAATCCAGAACGCCATTGAGGTGGTTCAGCACAGTTAGTAATTGACGGAACCGTTTAGCCCCACTCTTAGGGAACTTTAGGGAAAATCGGTTGCTTCCTAGAACCTGTGTTCCATAATGAGTACCCATCGTGGCTTAAACCGTTTTATCCGAAAATTATGGTGTTGCGGTTAGCATTAGTTAGCGCATTAGGAACCACGCTACCTGAGGGCGGTGCTGCTAATTAAAAACCGATGATCGTTGAACAGTCGCAAGAAACTCTCGTTTTGTCCGCGCCTTCAGGATTAAGCCTAAG